CCCCAAAACCCCAAAACCCCAAAACCCCAAAACCCCAAAACCCCAAAACCCCAGACAATAAAGATCGGATTGAATTCTTGATAACTGGAGACTCAGGGCTTCACCAGATTAAAAATTAAATTTCTTTTCCACGATTTAACAAATTTTCACCATGTGATATCTTTGCTCCCAAAACAAAGAGCAGGAAAGTAATGATACATTATTAGTTCTATTAGGATGGTGATTGTAGACGCCAAGCTTCAAGGTACATCTAGCCTTATATGGTAGAGATAGCCATTATTAATGACTTTCACATCTTTTTTAAACCAATAGGAATGCTATCTTTGCCAAGTAAGATGCTTCCTAAAAACTATAGGGTTACTTCTAAGACAGCGAGGATTATTTATACACCTTTGCATGAACGGTCCGACATCTTCTTTCTATCGTCATAATGTTCACCTAATTTGGATTTTGTCTTTCTAAAATATCAAACAAGATCCTAATCCGAGTAAACTATAGAATTAAGGTTCTCATAAGCTTTTAGATTTCCTTAAATATCTATTGCAAGTCTTTGTACCATACCTTAATGGCTTCTCGGAGGTATTCTGCTCATGTAGTCTAGTCATATATTTTAACTTTCTCTTAAATGAGCTGGACTGAATTTTTATTCTTTACTTATCCAAAGTTCATTCGGTATTCCTCTTAAGAACAGTTTGAGATAAATGGAACATTTATCAAAATGATAGGAGCAAATACTGGCTCGTCTCGTCGAGATGAAAAGACCTCCTCCTACAAAGTCTGAAGTGCCCGTATAAACTTGGAGACAGAGATATACTAGCCTAAATATTAAGAGAAAACTTTTTATCGACTTAAAATTTAAAGAACAATAGTGCAGTAGTTAGGATCTGGTTATTGTCTAAAGAAGCTTCCTGAAGTTCTTAGATGGTCCATTCTGGATATACTTCTTTATTATAAAAGATTCATTATAAGGACATAGTAATAGATTCCTTGATGAGCAAGGAAAAACCAAAAGTGCGGCTTCAGTACACCTTAATACTAATATTATTTCATCCAAAAAATTAGGATTTGACGGAAGATGAAAAACCAATTTTAATCCTTTGGGAAGAAGTAAGATTGTACTGCAGCACGGACCCTTTGACGCCCTAATTAAAACTAGGCTGAAAATCCTTAATTTACTAATAACTTAGTCCTATTAAGCCTATCACCCAGAAATTTATGTCCATCTGCTTCTCCGAGTAATTTTGGAAACTAGCTTGCTGGTCACAAAAAGAAAGTTCAGGGTCTATGAAGATGGTAATGTTTTTGTCTCTTTTTGGCTTAATAACACTAAAATTTCCCGTTTTAGTCTTTATATATTTTTATTGGGGCTGAGAAGATGCCTCTGTATATTTAGACCATTTAAACTTTAAACAGATATTTCTCTATTAGAGTTGTTTATGAATTCAGCCCAAAAGATATGGAAAACAATAAGTTTATTAAAATTTTACTTCCAAATAATTAAATTTTAGTAGCAAGAGAAGACGCTTCTACAATTTTTTGAAGATGCTTAAACTCTTCTTCTTATATTTCTGGACCAAGATATCAACCATCTTCTCCAGTGTCAACATATTTTTGCCTGGGAAGTGGTAGATGACTTCATTCAGGTTGATCCCCTTGTACTCATAATTCCTTTTAAGAATCTGTTTCAACTGCTTAACTTCTCTGCAAGAGAATTCGGTATCCCAGAGAGATTTGATCCTTGCAAGGAGTTTCTTTGCAGATGCTTTCCATCCGACACTCTTTGAGAGTTCTTGCAATGATTCATCGTGAAGGCAATCGTTGTAGGTCTGAAGTTTAAAGACTTCGCCCATTCATATCTGCTTATGTTGTTCCATCTTTCTGATATGCTTGAATAGCATTTTATCTTGTGACCTTCCCCATCTCTTCTTAGAAGCGTCTTTAGGAGCATCTTTTGATTGCTCAGGAGGAGTTTTAATTTCTTCATGATCCTTTACTTGCAAGTCAGTTGACAAGTCCTTTTTAAGAAGAGACTCCTGAGTTGTCTTTTTGTCAAGACAAAAACTTTTATTCCCAAGTTGAGAATCCGAAGAGGAATGACTCCCAAGGTTGCCAGTGTTGCTTCGATCGAGGTGATTAGTCTCCTCAAGATTCGTAATGGGGTTAAATTCATCTCAGAATATGAATGGATTATTTAACTCTAGTTCAAAGTTGAGAAGCCCTGTCTCTTGGAATATTTCTGGACAATAGTGATCGCCTATAGATATTTTTAGAATTTTTATTTAAAGTGTTTACATATAAAACTTCTGATAGAACCCCCAGAAACATGCAGTTACTTTATATGACAAAGCTGGGTGAAGTTTCAAGAAGCAGAAGAGAAGTAACTTGAATTTAAAACACTTATCGAGTTCAACTGAATTTTAGAATAATTTTTAGAATTTAAGATATGAACTTTACTTCTCTAAATGTTTAAGAAATCAGCGGATGCTTTAGATGCCTTTGCAGATTCAAAGCAGCTAACCAAGTTCTATAGCTAAGGAGAGATAGGAAAGCTTAACAAAGTTAAGAAATATTCTAATATTTGGTTTATGAAATGGGGTCTCAATCGATTACTGGACCATGGAAACCTGATACAGAAACATCTGAAAAGATAGACTTACTCGAAAAATGGGAAGCCTGATGGACTTGGTCTACATCAAAGTTAAGCTCTGACTCTTCTATGTTGAGGTTATTGATCATGAATTTCTAATATTATTATTTTCAATCTTGATCTGCATATAAGGGGTTTTGGGGTTTTGGGGTTTTGGGGTTTTGGGG